TATTTCTTTTATTTAATTTAACAACCCCAGTGCAACCAATGGGCATAGTGTAATAAAAAATTTAAAGACGCTGCTTGGAAGGTAATTGATTAATTATATATAGGAGTCGATTAATGAAGACCTATTAATAAGCTCATCCACACCCAGAGAGAGAGATCAGTTCAAAAATTTCCATTTTGTCAGCCATACAATTTGTTACTGACAATTAGCGAGCTATAAAATACAATGCAATATGAAACTGTAATTCTGTAAGCTTTGGAGATTCTTGAAATTTTAGGCAGTGAGAAATGTGCAGGCATACTACAAGCTCCCAATATGACGACGAAAGCAATGATGAGGGCGATGGTCCACCCGTGTTTGCTATAAATCGTAGGCCAAAAAATTGTAATTGGCTTACATTGCTATTTAATGCAGAAAGACAATGAATGACTCTGACACTCACTATACGTGCTGATGCAGTAAGACTTCAAAATTTCAGAAACAAAGGAAGCAAAATATGTAAGATGATTTTTGCAGGATTAAAGCTTAAAACTGAAAAATTTATCATGTGTGTATAATTTTTTGCATTATTTACAGTACAAATTTTCTGTATATTGGTTTAATAAAGCATTAAAATAAGTGCTTATTTATAATTTTTTTACCTATAACTTACTGCAATTTTCTTTCATTCTGACGATATTTCTTCTTCCATTAATACAAATATTTCCCATAAATTACTTCATTTGCGATCAATTCTGTTCCAGTAACCTTGCTGTCAGTAGCATTCATTTCCTTAAGGAAAAGAACTTGTGAAGTTTAATAGTAAACAAATGAAGAAACTTTACGTAAAGATTATCTGAAACAAATATAAAATGTATAACTGATTACAGTTTCATAAAAATCAATCTAATGTTTTCAAAGCGCTGTTAGTTTTCTCCTTAGAAAAGTGAAAATCATAGTTTATATCCCAACAATGAAAACAGATGAAAGTGAAGAATTCCATCATAACTTTCCACTATCGCATAAATTCTGCCTTCATTTTGTATTTCTTGAAAAACCTCTGAATTATTCTCGCCCAGCAGCCTCGTGATTCATGTAATGTATTCTGCTTTTCGGATAGAGGAAAGGAAAAACGTATTCAAAACTATACCATTCCCCCCCCCCGTTAAAAGCTGAAACACTTCTACATGTAGCATTTCATTTTTTAATAGACATGCTTAGAGTGACGACAACATTTCAATGACGCATGGCAGAATTCTACTACAAAACTGCAGTCAGTAATCAATTTCGTGATTATTTGTGCTAATTATTACGCTGAATTTCTTCATTTATTTACTTAAAATCAGAATTTCATCTAATACCTCTCATAACTTCTGTTGTAAAGTTATACCTACTGTATTCTAAATACAGGAACATTTAAATAAGTATTAAATTATGTGTTATGTTTATACATAGCAAAGATACAGTTGTACTTCGTTAAATGAAAACGCTAATTATAATAATTATTATAATTTACCAGTAACTTATACATAGTAACTTTTACACAATATGTATTGTAGAACAGAAATACATCTTGATGAAGGTTGAAAACACAATTTATTAGCCAGTAATACTTAGGACAGCTCCAAAAACACGTTTACAGTTGTCGAAAAGCTACGACAAACACACTGAAACAATTAGCAACACAGTCTTCAGGCTATTTATAACGGTGAGGACAGCTTCACGGGAAAGCACTAGAGTACAGCTCCCGACTCGGTTGGGTCCTTCTCGGAACTCAAAGTACTCTCGAGACTTTCCACGCTACAACTCGCGATGTACACTCTCGATGCACCAGCTGGACAGTAGACTGATGATAAAACTCGATAGACTACGAGACACTCGATAGACTCGCGACTGACTATCAACTCTGACGAGACACACTCTCGATGCACTAACTCGCGACAGGCTCGATGACCAACTCGACATTAGACTAACGATACTCGACAGACTCGCTAGACGAGACACTGACTGACTGACTGACTCCGCGTGCAGGCAGGGTTTATGTAGCTTTTGGGCTATCTTCGATAACATTCTGGTCTAAACCGGTAAGAATTCGTTCTAGAAAGTCCTCCATCCGTCTATGGCATATCGCCAGTTTTCTTGCAAAATGTCACTAAAAAGTGATTTCGCTCCAAATATGGCGACCCTGCCTTCCTTGTCCTTTTCTGGCAACCCTAAACCCGCTTTACGGGAAATCTATCTTACCGGAACTGGACATTTTGTAACAGTATATATGCATACCTTTCTAAAAGATGTTATAAGATTCTAGCTAAATTGGTTGTCCTTGACAGCTAGAATACTTGAGAAGTGTCTAAAGACTAATCATTTACTTCTAAAGCTTTAATGACAAGTCCAAAGAAGGGTTAAATTAACCCTTTTATTCGACTCAAGAATATTTACAGTTCATTCCTCTCGGGCTTACAGGAAGCCTCCACTTGTGCTTTAACTTACAGAAAATAATCTAATGCTAACTAAAACTAGCCGAAGCTGCATAGAATTAACTAACAGAATTGACCCTTATTCAAAGCTTGCCGGCGAATACTAGCAGGCACGAAAGAATATGGCCGAACGTAGTAAGATTTGGCTGAAAGCAGCGAGGTAGCCAGAAGGCATAGCACACTCTGAACTGAGAACTTGTAAGCTCTTCTACTGAAACTCCAGATTCCAGATGCCGTGTCTACAGCTTTCAATTTTGCAAGCTGTCGTAAAGAGCGATGCAAGTACAGAAATGGCTAAGTCGCTCCAAAGGACAGGATGTGAAATGGAGCTTTATTGAACTGATGGACACTTCAACTTAAATACTGGTTCTACCTCATTTACATAAAACGCGATTCTGAAAACCCATTCTAGCAGGGATTTGCAGAGGGAAAATAAGAATTTAAAAGAAAGCTTATTCAAAAAATAAAAATAACTATTAGAAAATTTAAATAAACCCCTAAAATGTATTGCTTGCATGTAACTTAAAAAAAAAAAAAAAAAAAAAAAATGAAAGGAAAAATGTGTCTTGATGTACAACAGGGTTGTATTGTTCAAGAATGATTGCGTTACTTTTACAGAAAAGTTGGATGAAAGGACACGGCGTAAAAGGCCTGTTTCAAAAAGGTTTACAGAAAATGCTTGTACAGCTGTTCTAATGAAACTTAAAAAATTTTTACTTAGTCATCTTTGATGTAATATCCATTTAAACACATATCCAGTAGTTCTTGACATTCCTGGAAGAACTGCTAAAACACCTTTTCTGGTATCTGTCATAAAATGCCCGTCAGATTATCATTTGGGATATGATATTGACTGCGACCGTTGACTCCATACAGTCTTGATAAGAAAGAATAGAAATCTGAAATAATATGGTCGACGCAAGGTAAGAATTTTCTTTTCTTTCCAACATAGCTATTCTTCTTCCAAAATACGTTTTGCTCAAAATGCGATGTCGCGCCAAATGATCGAATGATATTTTAATTTCATTTGAATTACGTTGAATTACGTTCCACGCAGAGTATGGCTAAAGTCTTTAAAGAACAAACCTGAATTGTTACAAATTGTATGCATATAACAGGATTTTGGCTCGAACGTTTCGAACAGAGTAGCATATTTATCATATAGGGTGTTTATAAATGAATGGTGCGGTTTTATAAATTAATAATAAATCGATGTATACCTACACCTTACCCGTGTAAAACCTACACCGTAAGCATTGGCAACTGTCCAAGGTTCTCATGTGCTGCTTGCTGTTTGCTTGTCATGCGCAGCCGCAGCTACAGTTTCCCAGTTGACAAGAAAAGTTTTCTGTGTGCTCCGTTTTGAGTTGTCCGGATTTGTAGTTTCAGTGTAACGTGAGGTTCTCGCACATTTTCTGTGCGGTGTCCCACGAGAAAGTACATAGCCCACTTTTTTTTCGAACAAGAAACTGTGATTGTGACTCATTATTAGACATGTAGGAAATCTTCTTGTTACCCTAGCTGAACACAAGTTATGATGATTACATTTTGCAATTGGACGGTGTTCCGTCCCATTTTTACAGGAATGCATGAGAGCTTCTTAATCGCATTTTTCACCAGTGCTGGTTTGGACGTGCTGCAACAGCAAACAACAACAACCTTCTCCCCTGACCGCCCAGTTCTCCGGATTTAACCCCATGAGATTTCTTTCTTTAGGAGTTTGTTAAAGACCGAGTTTATGTACCGCCAATGCCCGTGTCCCTTTAGGAAATTTATGGTCAGATAAAGAGTGCACTGCAAACTGTCACGACGTACAAGCTACATCGACAGTGTGAAGAATTTGATTTCCGTGCAGATGTGTGTCGAGTGACCAAGAGTGAACATACTGAAGGATTGTGATTAATTCATAAAAAACTTGCACAGTTGCCGCTGCCTATGCTGTAAAGTTTGCCTCCATACATTTAATTTTTATTATAATTTTTAAAATCGCACCATTTATTTATAAACGCTCTGTATTATGCGTTAGAATGCCAAGCGGTGAAACCGCTGAACACGATTAGTTCGACCTGGGTTCAATTTCAATCGGGTCCACTAGCCGCCGAGCGGTAAAATCGCTGAACACTGGTAGTTCGGTCCGAGTTTCGAATCCCTCGAACGGGCTGGCTGCATGGGCGTTTTCGTGGTTTTTCCCATGTTTAACGTGTATACGAGCCAGTTTCCTTTAGAAAGTCGTCCACAAAGGCATCCTCCCCTTAGATAGCCCTCGAGGCTTTGCCATAATCACACACACACATACACACAATTTCAATCGAACGGGTAGGCAGCAAAGACGTTTTCACCGTTTTTCCTATGTGCAAAGTGTAAACGAAGGAATTTCTCTTAGAACGTCCTTTACAAAGGCATCCTTTCTCTTAAGCAAATAGCCCTAGCATGCTTTGCCATCATAAAAGTAACCAAACTATGTATTAGATGGATATTTGCATTATAGACTTTACAGATATTTTAATGGTTTTGTACAGTTTTCATAGCGTATCTTCCTTATAGTGTTTCAGGATGTGAGCGTTATGATATTTGCTGGATTTGGATTTTTAATGACATTCTTAAAGAAGTATGGATATAGTGCAGTTGGTCTCAACATGTTGTTAGCAACCATCTCAATCCAATGGGCAATCATTATGCAAGGAGTTTGGAATATGGATAACGGCAAAATTCCCATAAGCATTACCAAGTAAGTAATATCTAGCATCACCCTATACTAATACTGAATGCAAATTTGGTAACATTTTGTGTTATTTACGCTGAAACCTAAAACGCATTGCTTTATCTTTTGGCTCGTATAATTATAATCTCTTTAAGATAAAAATGACAGAAACTCAAGGATGCAGTTTTTCTGTTTCTGTATGAAAAGAAAGACATTGCGCAATAACATACACGCCTCAAAATGTGAGTTGTTTTTATAGCGGAAAGACAAACCACGCTTTTTTTTCCTCTTGAATGCGAAAGAAAATTCTTCTTAATACGTATAAAAGTTGATTTTTATTCTTTCTTTCACTCTGTATTATTTTCCTGCAGTCATGTATATTTAATCGATAAGCAGTTTATGGCAGTGAAGATAATGCTGCTAATTTATTCACATGCACCGTGGATTTTTAAGCATTTTTCTGCAGTATATATTCGAGAAAGACATAATTTGAACCTTATGTACTCTTGCCAATATAATAAATTTAAAATCATTGTAAAATAATGAAATAAATATATTAGGAAATAAAGCCCAAGGCCTAAATTTATGCACACATACACGTTTCGAGCATTTGCGCTAACATCCCTTTCGGCTAATAATATATAAAAACAGCATATCTTTAGAATTTCTTACAGACAGTCTCCCGCTCTGGAGATAAAAATATTTTATTCCGTACAGTGTGTTGCCACTGATCGCTTTAAAATCATTGAGTTTGTTAATCAAAAATTCATTAAAGTTTAAAAAATATAGAATGGATAATAAAACAAATTCGAAATTCAAGATTCGGGCTTCTAGGTGCCCATAAACGATTGGAAGGCTATGTTATTCAAAATTTGATGCCACTAGGTATCTTTATTTTTACACGTTGCGTGAAACATACATACATTCATGCAGATTCTTCATTGTTTAATTTCTTTAAATATAATACAGGGCGATAAAATTCGGTAGCAAAAATTGGAAAAGTGATATAGCCATTTATAGTAATTCGAGATTAATAATCCTTCTGGGTAATTAATAGGCAATGAACATTACAAAACCAATTTTACTCTTGATTAGAAAACATTATGTATATTTTATTCCTTTTTGAATCTGGTCTTTTGGGGCAAAGCATGCTTCAGAGCCACAGTATTAGCATGAGCGAGCGCTGTTTATGTTAATAGTGTTGGTCTGAAGTAGGCATACCTGCTCGATGAGTCTTATCAGCACTGTCTCACCAGCATTTTATACATTCTCAGTATAAGGGATTTCCTGCCGCCCAGACGGTGTAGTGATTAGGGAAGCCTGACTGCAATACCGAAGGGTTCGAATCCCGGAAAAGGCATGGTTGTCACATTCCGTCCCTTGATAGGAAGCGATGGTGGCCCACCTATTAGTTCCCTAAAGAAACCACCACATCTTGCCTTGTATAGATTAAGGGACTATGTTACACTGTAACTGTTCACAATCTGCCCCTGGAAATAAATAGATAATGGATTTCTCAATATGATTAATAAAAATATTAACGATTATTTTATAAAGTGAGACATGAAATCCCAGATAACTTATTGACGAGATGACAGTTTTCATACATCTTCTAAAAAAACCAATAATTTTAAAGAGTAAAGCGAGAGTTTTTAACCGATTATGACGTCAAAGAAATAATTGTACGTAAATAATATAAGAAAATAAATAGGGATAAGAAAGCAGAAACGTCGGCTCAAAACCCTGAATACGTCTCTGTTTTTGTATGCTTATCCCAGCAGCAGTCATTTAATGTTGTTTCTACTTACTATTCATTTATTAATTTAGGGACAAAATACAGAACATAGCTCACATAACACAGCACGTTAAAATAATATTTAAAAAAATAATCTTGATACATAGGAACTATGAATTTTAAAGTGGTTATTTGTGCTGTGTCAATATTAAGAATTAGTAAATATAGTAATTACTTAGGTAATAAAGTAACAGAATGTATGAAATATTATACTTAAATTGTAATCTTAAAAATTACTGAAAATTTCAGACGCAGTGCAATGTAAAAATATCAATGAACTCAATTCATATAATAAAAATTACAAAATTGAATGATACAGAGAACGGAACTGTTTCTAGATAAGGTTAATTTTGTGTTAATAATAGAGCTAATTTAAGAGTTAATAACATTTTGTGAATAAATTACATAATCGAAAAAGTGTCCATAGTCATTAGATATAAAAATATATCAGACGACCATAGACGCTTCTGTAAATTGCAAATGTATGCATGAATAGACTGAATGTATGCATGAATAGTCTTTGATTGACAATTATGTAGTCAAAAGTGTAATCGAATTCCATATGTAGGTGGATATAAAATTTCGCTGTTCTTAAAAGGTAATTTTGAACTTGCTCGCTTGTATAGCTTCGAACCAGAATAAATTTCTGCCGGATATTACGTTTATGATGATTGCTGTAAAATGATTAACATACAGATACTTTAAGAGTATTAAGGTATAAAAATTATTATTATATATATTAAGATATAAAATACGTCATAACAGAGTTATATTTTTCAGATTTCGTAAAAGCTCTAAATGGGATTTATTAAAAAATCAAATTGCAAGGCTATAATTATTTTGTATAATCAGTTATTTTATGATATAGATCTTTACTGTCACTTTTCTTTCCGTTTTCCTCACCAGACTGCAAATTAGATTGAGTATTTAAGCTGAAATTGTTAGATTGTAAGCCAGACTGTGTTTCTGTCAGTGGATGTGCGCGTTACGTCTCTCAGCTCCTGAGCCTGAGTTATTCGGCTTTGCATCATTGCTGCCGAATATTTAAACACTTACGCTGGTTAGATTTGCGAGCCAACTTCGCGTTCAATTCAATTATGTAGTCTTTGATTTCTAGCTAATTTAAATTTTAAACTGATTGTTACTTTATCTCCCCACATGTGCTGGGTTAGTCTGTCAAGCACGAGATGTAGTCTTCTCTTAAATTTCTGATTTAATAAAAAGGTCAATTTTTAATCTTCTCAAGACTTTTCTTCAGCGATAATTCGTTACAAGTCTGTTAGGGGTTTTGACACTAATTAATGCTCCCAAAGAAAATCAAACTCTATAGAATATCGAATTTTCCCTGATTTCATAGAAAGTAATTAATTAAAGCATAATCACGATTATCCATTCTTTCAACACGCCATGAAAGAATGAATCATACTTTAAATTAATATTATTACTGTGGTAATTTTTCACTTTAGAGTAATAATAAATTTGTTAACTTAATGTTATTAATGTATATTAACATATTAATGTATCTTAATTTAATTTATGTGGAATTGAAGTTCAACAAGACAGCGATCTTATTCTGTTGACACTGGTGAAAGTTTTGCTGTTAGTAAATATATGTAGCAGTAAGAAATGAACTACATAAATTAATATTTATATAAAATAGCTTAGGGAAAAGCATGGAATACATAAATTTTCATCGCTGCCCATCCCATATCTTCCTTTTCTGTGGTACAATTTGTACACAGTTCACAGTTTTAATGCATAGTAATGGAGCCATCTTTATTTTCCATAAAAATAATTTTATCATTATAAGCATAAACGTAAATCTAAGTGCTGATTTTAGCGTCGCGATAATTATGTTTGTTTTTTATTGGTGTAAAGTTTGTTATAAAACATTTAGTTTTTCTTCGTTAGGTCTACTTTATAAGCATGTCTTTGTAAGTCAGTGTAAACTCAACCACTCACGCAAATTCATGTCATATAATAAATATGATTCCATTATATGAAAGAATTAGTATTTAGTTACGCACGTGGTCTAGTTAAATAATATTCAATCTTGGGCATTTGCTGGAATTAGAGGCCAATCACTGGCCGATAGATCGCTGAACACTAGCTCACTCCGCGGTTAAATGCCAGTAGCTGGACTGGATTCATGAATGTTTTTGTGATTTTTTCATATCTAAGATGAATATCAGCTAGTCCTCCTCAAACAGTTCTCTACGAAAGCATCCTTCCCATTATGCAGATCATTTGCTTTGCCGTAATAAGTTAACCAAACATGCAGTGCTCCAGTCTGAATCCTGGACTATCCTGTTCTAGGGATAAGTTGCTCTGAAAACTACCTGACTTTCGAATTATTTTTAAAGCCAGAGGGCGTTATTATTGTCCAATATTATTGTCCTGTGTTGAATACTATAAGGAAATTAAATAATGAAGAATCTTCGTGTATAAATGTATGTTTTCGCATTGTGAAAAAAACAACAGTACCTAGAGCCATCAGTTTCGAATAACGTAACCCTCCACCCAAGCATGGTATGCCCGAATTTTGAATATGTTTTATTATCTATTTCGTATTTTGTAAAAATGTAACCAATTTTTTTATTAATAAACTCAACGATTCCAAAGTGAACAGTGGCAACACGGTACGGAATAAAAGATTTTTATCTCCAGCGCGCGAGACTGTCTGAAATTCTACAGATACGCTGTTTTTAAACATTTTGTGATTTTGCTGTTGAATCAAATTTTATGTGGCGTAGCGTGATATTTAATAAAAAGTAAAAACACAAAGTGTTAATAATAAAGGGACAAAAAAATTATAAAGCTTTCTTAGTAAGAAAACTGAATATTGATATGTTGAACTGAGAAAAGAATGTCGGGGGGGGGTAACAGAAAAAAGTATGCCAACACTTAACGATTCCTTTTAAAAGTAGCATAGCGCTCCAACACTTAAGACTATGCTATTTTTAAATTTTTTTAACTTTGCTGTTAAATTCTATAAGGCGTAACAGCAGACTGGTAGACTGCGAGCCCAGTGAGAGCGTAAAAAAAAAATTAACAAACCCTTTTGGGCCACCTTTAAAATCTGAAACCATTTAGATTTTATTTTACTTTTATTTATTTTCATGAAGATAAAATATGGATCCATGAATTGGGTGAGTTAACTTGTTAACATTAACATTCTAGATATGTAATATGAATAAGTAATCCGCTTATAAGGGCAGTGGTGACCCTTTTA